TTGCTGGTGTTTTGTTTTTGTTTGTGCCGAATACTTAACTACTTGGATCAATAGCGTTTAATTTTGATTCAATTTGAGAGTGAAAGTTGGGTTTTGGAGAATTTATGCAGCATTTTTATATACTAGTTTCTGTTTAAACTTTAATTTTGGATGAAAATGAGGGATTTATCTCTCTTTTTTTCTTTCTTCTCATCCAAAAGGAGAAAAAAAATCTTTAAATGTTATCCTGTGGAATTTGATTGTTGTTCTCTGTTGACATTTTGCAGAGAGAGAGATGGAGTTTTTGCGTTTTATTAACTATTGATATCATGTCATTTCAGTATGATGCTTAAAGTTTTTTTTAACTATTTCTGGAAGAAATGAAGAAATTTGTAACTATTAATCCAATTTAAAATCTAGGCCTAGTTTAACTAGAAAATAGTAAAAACTCTATCTGAAATAATACAAGATACTATTAAGAGGAACTGAAATAACACATTTGAAATCCCATTATATTTTGGTGGAGTTTAGAACATATTATTTTAACTTCAGTTAAAATTCCTTAGGAGGTCAATTTGTCAATTTATAAGACTATGTTTGAAATAAATTCGGAGTGAAATTCATTTGTAAATTCATACTTTTTTAATAATGAGGAATACAAATTCTATTAGGAGTTAGGGAAATTCAGCTCATCTGAAATTCTAAATGGAATTTGAATAATCTTTTCGAAATTTCAGCAATGTTTGAAGCAAATATAGAATTTTCGTGAAATCCATTTGCCAATCCATGCTCTTTTTAACTATGAGAACTATAAATTCTGTAGAGCATTGTAAAAATTGAACCCATATAGATTTTTATATGGAATTGGAATGCTACATTATAATTCCACCAATTTTAATGAAATTTAGAATATATCATTTCAATTTAATATAGAATTCATAGGATTTCAATTCTTATTATCTTGTAGTTAAAATAATTTTCAATTTAGAAATTTCATAATAGAATTTTCATCTTTTTCCTAATCAAGGTCACAAGAAATGTGGATTTGTTCCAAACTAACCATCATGTACATTTATTTTGGAAAAATCAGTAGCTTGTGATATGAAAAGATTATTAATCAGTGAATCAAACAAAATGTTTTTCCCGATATGGTTTAATGTAATGTTTTTCCCAATATGGTTTAATGTGCCAGTACCACTTGTTTATCAGCGAGATATTTCTTCAGATTATTCCACAAAATTTTTTATTGGTTAGCCAGAGATTGTAGAGGGTATGTATATTATGAACTTTAAATTCAACATGCACCAAGAGAATTCTTCTGGTTTGCTATCAGTGCGATTGTCGTACCATGGCTAGATGTTAGCTTTCTCTTCCATTGACTATTATTTCTTGTTTGAAATGATCTTTTGCTCCCTGATTATTGCATGATGTGCGTGTTTCTTCTGATGTTTGAATCTTGACTTGTAGTGCCGTTTGAAGAAGATGACAAAGACCCAGGCATCTGGTTTCTTGATCACAACTACCATGAATCAATGTTTGCCATGTTCAAGAGAATTAATGGTATTATCAACAATATTTTGCTTTCATTACAGGCAGCATATGGTGCTCATATTAACAAATGAAATATTCCATTTTTTCAGCCAAAGAGCATGTGGTTGGATGGTATAGCACAGGTCCTAAACTGCGGGAAAATGACTTGAATATTCATGCATTATTTAACGAGTAAGATCACCAATTGTAGCACTTCCAATAGAAAGTGATAGATTGGGAAAAGCATTGTTTTTCTTAAATTTGTCCTTCCATTTACTTTCTTAATCCGTTCGCCAATTCAGTGTCTATTTATTCTTTCCAATTCTCAACTGTCTATCTTTATATTTGCAAAGTGAATCTGAATTCCAGCTCTAATTTTTTATCCAGTGTCTGGTGAATGTATTTCTCCTATTCTTAACTTTCTCTTCTGGTATTTCAGCTATGTTCCAAATCCTGTTCTGGTCATAATTGATGTCCAACCTATAGAGCTTGGAATACCAACGAAAGCTTATTATGCTGTTGAAGAACTGAAAGAGGTAAGAACCTAAGTTCTCCAGCAAATATGTACTTGAGTAGATTGTGGTACTGCATGTACGTACTTCTTGTTACTTTCCTTGCCTCGACACCTGCTAAGACATTAACTAGTAATGTTATATGGGCACAGAATGCCACTCAGAAAAGCCAGAAGGTTTTTGTTCACGTGCCTACCGAAATATCTGCTCATGAAGTTGAGGAAATTGGTATGTCCATCAGATAGGAATTGCTGTAGTATATATGATTTAGTTCTTTGTTTTGAATTGGAGTTGATATTTGTTTTCCTACTTCCCTGTAGTTACCTGATCATGTATTTCTGCACTGATCCTTCTTCAACAGGTGTGGAGCACCTGCTCAGGGATGTGAAGGATACAACCATTAGCACTCTAGCAACAGAGGTCCTTTTTCTTTTCAATGCTTGAGCCCGATTTTTATAGCAAGTCTCATTTAGAGCATTTCTGGATGCACTGATTTCAGTAGAAAAATTAATCAGTTTCAGATGTTATTATAGTGTGAATCTCCTAATGCTTTTCATTCATTCTGCACAGGTGACTGCAAAACTTGCAGCTTTGAAGGGGTTAGATGCACGACTCAGAGAGATACGAAGTTATCTAGATCTTGTTGTCGAAGAGAAGCTCCCACTAAACCATGAGATTTTGTATCATTTACAGGTTAGATTCAGGATGAACACTCAATTCTCTCTTTAAGATCTTTCATTTTGCCAATTTTTTCCCTATTTTATTTGGATATATTTGCTTTGCATTTCACTGAGGCCTCTCAGTCAAGAACTTGTTACAAGAGAGTTTCTTTTTTACCATTTATTCTGCTATTCTATATTCACACCTATTTACTATTGCAGAGATGCATAACCTTATGTTGCTATTGTTTTGAAATTTTATAGGATGTTTTCAATCTACTTCCAAACCTAAACGTGAGTGAGTTGGTAAAAGCTTTTGCAGGTGAAGCCTTGATGTTGAAGCTCTTGTCTGAATATTTACTTTCTCGTTTACATTTCTTACAACTGTTCTTATGTTCACACTACATGCAGTGAAAACAAATGATATGATGTTGGTTATCTATTTGTCCTCGCTAATCCGAAGTGTCATTGCCCTCCACAATTTGATCAACAATAAGGTGAGATTTGCTTTCGATGGTGTGTTTGATTGAAACTTATTCTATTTGATGCATAATTAGTTTATCTCCAATCTTATTTCAATTCCACAACTATATTACTACTTGTTAAGGAAAGAAGATAAAAAGCGTATTTGAATTAGAAATGGAATTATACTGTTATTATCATTCAAATTTCTATCATATTTGTGTTGTATTCTTATTTTATTCCAATTTAATGTTAAGAATATTTTATTCTTCATTTTTTAACTCTAGAAAAGTCAAATATGCTCCCTTTTTCTTGAATTTTTGCTACACATAAAACTCTGATCCTTTTTTAATCACATAACATTTTAGGACCTCACCTTCAATAAATCCAAATGCCCCATTTAGTTCTTAGCTTGTTTTCGTGTTAATGATATAGACCCGGATCTTATTACCCAAAGAAGGCAAATAAAAGAAATCAGAGGAGAAATTAAGGAACCTGACTTGTGCAACCAAAGGGATAGGTTAGAATAAAGGTACATTTCTTAAATTGGTAAGACTTGTAATGTAAATGTCGGTATAAATGGTCAGGTTAGTATATATGTAAGAGAACTGAATAGTAAAGCATGTAAAATTAGCATGTCATAGTATTTCTTTACCGTACCCAGGTCCCTCTCCTTCCTCCTTCCCCTTCTTGTTTCACTGCTAATCATGCATAATTTGATTTCAGTTACTCAACAAAGAACATGAGAAAGCAGAAGACTCAAAGCCAGTTGCTATCCCCGCTGCTGCTGGAAGCTAAGCACCGGTAACTATTTGAGCTTGCTTGGATGTCTCTGCAACTTGATCTTTCCAGTGACAGGCTCATCGGTCTTGCATTGTCAGTCTTTTAGAATCTACGGATTTCTGAAAGAGAGATCTTTCCATTGACAGGCTCATCAGTCTTACATTGTCAGCCTCTTAGAACCTATGGATTTCTGAAAGAGAAAAGAACTAATATGAGGGTGGAGGTTAGAAACGAAAATGGCTGAAGAGATTTTCTTTCAGTCAATAATTTTCTGATGCTGATCTGTCTTCTTGCCCTTCTAGTTTCAAAACTGCAATCTAATGTTCACGGAGATGTATAACGATTCTCTGCCACTTAATTCCAATCTCTTAGCTTTCCTATTTGGTTTTTTTTTTTTTTTTTTTTTTTTTTTTTTTTTTTCTCGTTAGTTGCTAAATTAGTTGCTTAATGTTTGTGGTCTGATGAAAACAGAATTTTACTGGTTCTGTAGTTTGATATTCAAATTCTTTATCTTGATAATTAAGATATGTTGTTTGTTTAACCAAATCGATTCCAATGAGCATGACTTTAAATTGTCTCAAGAAAATTTTGGTCCTGCTATGTAAAATCTAGCCCGAATATAGACATACTCCTGGTAAAAAGCTGAGATTTGAATGATCTTTTTCTTTAGGTGATAAATTATCATGTATCCCTTGTACCAAAAATGTGAATTATGTGATCCTTCTTAATATTCTTTGTAAAAATACATTGCTTTTTGATTTACAACAAAAGAAACAGAACCTACTGCCTATCCTAAAAGCTCCAGGCATCAGCAAAGAAGCTTCTCTCTCTTAATTCAACTCAAAACTATCTTCTTCTTCATCAGGCTTCACAGCTTGTTCAAATTCAGCATCCATAATCACACCATCCATCACATGCACAACAATCTTCCCTCTCTGCAAATCCACTCTCTCCGCTTTCACTCTGTTCACCACCAACATCCCATCAACATCCTTCGACACAAACAGACCAAACCCAGACACAGAATCACATAAAAGCTCTTTCCCAAGCTCCACACCACCTGAAACCACTCTGAAAGGCACCACCGAAAACCCTAAAACTCTTGAGACTATTGCATACGTGTCGTTGACTTTATCTTTGGTCAAACTTCCGTTGACACTCAACCCTAGATCCCTCTCAAATGCTGAATCTGATGGCAGAAAAGCTGTGAAGACAAGATCTTGTGGGAGCATCTCAATCATCATTTCCCCGAACTTACCCAGTTCTTTATTTTTGAGGGAGTTATGTTTTATTGAGGCTTGGGGGAGACCCAGATGGCCATTGTTGTTGACCAGTGAAGTTTCTGGGAGGTTTAGGACTGAGAGAATTAGGATGAAGAGGGAACAGCAGATTGTGATGAGGATGCAGATAAAAGCCACTGGGTTTTTCAAGGAGAAATTCTTCATCTTTTTTTTATTAGATTGTTGCATGATTTGCAGAGTTGCAGATAAGTTCTGCGGTGGAGGAAGAAGAAGAAGAAGAAGAAGCTGGTCTGATCTAGGGGTGGATGGATTCATATGGGATTTTACTGTATTTAATTTTCATCTCCGTAAGAAAATGGGCTTCGATTGGCATGGACGCATGGTTGTCAATATAGAAAATGGGCTGGCCGAAAAAATGCATAATTTTGGTCTGATCTTTGTAGAAAAAAACTCCATGGTTAATTCTCACCTAGTTAAGTTGTAGGAAGTAATTACCGATGTTAAATATGTTTTATTTTTATATTTTAATTAGTTATTTACGTATACATTAATTATAATTTTTTATATATTTGGTTCATGATTGACTTGAGTATAAATAAATTTTCATTTTCAGAGTCATTCATTTGTGTTTTTTACCTGTAAAATAATGAATCCGAAAAATATCTTAATTTAGAATTAACTATTTTTAAACAATTAACCAAACAAAGAAAATTAAAAATTAATTATATTTCCTCAGCCCAAAAAAAAGCGGTAAACAGGAAGGTAAAAGCATCATACTGTTTGCAGTATTAAGTGTAAAGAAACGTTAAACTAATCAACTGAAGAAAAAACAAACAGGCTATATAACAAATGTGACAAATCCTACCCGTTAAAACAACTAACCACGTTAATCCAACGGCTATAACAAGCCAGATTACATCATCACCACTGTTAATTTGACACGTAATGCATGAACTCGGGATCTGACTCGACTCCCGCCATTGTTTCCGGCGCCAAAATCACCTCCAGATCAACGCTTCCGTTTCCTTCCCGCCCTGGAAACGCCGAGATCTTCCCGTCGAATTTGTTCGCTTTCCCGCTCCGAATCGCCAGAGGCCGACCCCACCCGAAATCGTTGTCGTACATCGGAAATCTCGGCGAGCTCCCCATCGTGACCGAAGCCCCGTCGAAGTTTCCAAGTGGGAACAACCGCGGGTTCGCCTCCCATTCCGCCACAAGCTTCCGGATTGTTTCATCGCTTTGAGCCAAAACGTTCTGATTCAGCTTCTTCGCGCACCAGCGTAGGTCCCTTGACAGCAACTCACCGGCGGGCGCGTAAGTTGGCACGCTCTGTATCGCATTGCCGAAGTAAAGCGGGTCGAGCTTCGGGTTCAGTCTGTGACGGCAATTCATCGCCATGCGGAACGTCGTCGTTTTCAACTCCGGGAGATTTCTGGCGCGTGTCACTGCCCGCCATAGCAATGCGCAGAGGGATTGAAAAGATGAGATTTCCGTCGTCTTCTCCTTCGAAACATTACGCGATTCTTTCTCGGCGTCAGTGTTGGCGAACCAGGTGTCGAAAATTTCCGTTAATTTGGCGTTACCGTTCTGGTGGCAGTAGAACTTGTCGTTGATTTTTTTACCCATTAATTCGACGACGTCAATATCTCCGTCAACGACGACGGCCCAGTCCCGCTTGTTTACTCTGGCTTTGAGCTCGAGTATGGCTTCTCTGCTGAAACTGAAGATTCTCTCACTGAACGGTGCGTTTTGATCGAAGGTGACCTTGGGTCCACCTTCAGGAACATGGAGCACAGCTGGCGAGACAAACACAGAGTCCCGGCTGAAATCCGGGCGATGAGAAATCACCTTCTTGAAACCTCTAGAAAGCTCAGCGAACGTGTTGAAGAAGTTCCAAAATGACGTCCCATCGGCGATTGCGTGGTTAACAGAACAAGCAATGAAGACCCCATCGGCCAGGAAAGTGACCTGAACGGCGAGGAGAGGACGGTTATGTCCTTCGTAGCTGACAGCTCCGTCGAAGGTAAAGAATCCCTTGACGATGTCTGGGACGTGGGATGGACCGAGCACGTCAACGACATTGAGGGAGGAAGCGTCGGCGTAGATGAAGTCGACGCCGGAGTCATTGCAGGTAATGACGACGGTTCCGTCGGCGAGGGTGAGAAACCGTCCGACAAGAGGAGGGAAATGGGAGAGGGAAAGGGAGAGGGAGCGCTTGAGGAGGGAGAGAATGGAGTTGACAGGGAGAGAGGGGCGAGTAAAGAGACAGCCCTTTTGAATGTAGTGACAAGACAACATGGGAAGGTCGGTTACGGAGAGCTTGAGGTCTCCCATGGCGGATTTCTCACCTGGGTAGACTCTGGATTTGGAGATGAGGGTGACTTGGGGAGCGAAAGGCATGTTTAAAGTTATAATTCCTGGTTCGTCTGTGTAAAATTTTTGAGGAGGGAAAAAGAAAAGTCTCTCCCAGTCTTGATTTCGTCTGTGAGATTTAGTTGGGGGTGTGGTTGGAGTGGAAGTTAAAGAGGGATAGGGTTTATATAGGAGATGGTGGAGGGACTGATTCATTGCATTTGTTGATATGTGAGTAGTCAACTGCAGTTTGTTATTTTCTGCAATTTGTTTTAAATTAATTAATTATCTGTAAAACGTAATTAATCAATACTATTTAAAAAAATAAATAAAAACTGGATTAAAAGAAGAAGGTAGATGATCTCAAACCACGTGTACACGCCGACCTCTTCTCATCTCCTGTCAATTCTCATGTTATTAATGAAGTGTTAATATTAATTAATCCAAACTTTACTACATGTGTTTATAATTGTAGATCATGGTCCAAATTCCAGAGATTTATAACATCTTCTATATCTATATCCATGAGTTTTTCATATATTTACTTGGGATCACAGGAAAAATATATGGAAGTTGGAATCAATCTTGAATTGCATTAAAATCCCCGCATTTCCGAGATTTGCTAATCCACCCACAAAATCTTTTCCCATTTTATAACTCCAGATTCTTCTTCTTCTTTCTTTCTATATCTGGTTTTAGGAATATGTATATAATTTATACATACACATACACAAACACAAACACATATACACATAAAGAGAGGTTACGCGTGGCGTCCATGCAATAAAAAAATTGCCACATATTCGTCATACCTCACACGTGCCGTCCATGCAGAAAAATACACTTTGCAGTTACCCATTGGGTGAATACGTATTTGACACTTTCCCAGAATAAGAATGTAACAAAAAGAGAGATAATCCATAGAAAAAAGATTTGTCTTTAATTTTATTTTTCTTCAACTTATGTACGTATACTTAAAATTCATATTAGTCTAATAATTTATCTCACAATTCACATATTTGGGCACTGGTTCGAGTAATATGAAAAATTAGGACGTATTATTTTTATCAATATTGTTAATTACAATTGCTTCAATGGAAAATTAAAGAGTATAAAATATGTGTGTGTGTATATATGTATTATAGTGCAATTAGAATTTTAATAATTGTGACAATGTAAGAATCTGGCCGACTTTTAACGCTCTGTATGTTGGCTGTCATTCCTACGATCCCGAGGAAGAAGGAAAAGTCGGCTTCCAGAATCTCTCCAACTGTTCTACAAGCTAATCTTGAACCTGTAATACAAAAATTATTGTACTGAATTCATTAATTAATATATATCCACTGGGATTTTAATACTCGTAATATAATAATAATAATAATCTAACTATTGCTGTTTATTAATTAACTAATTAATTTCATGTGTGTATGTATCTGTTGATTTCATTATTAAAACATAATATTGTTTGACATAAATGGTTTAAACAAAATAAATTAATTAATTAAATAAAATAATGTTGATGGGTGAGAAGGCAAACGTTAGTGGTGTGTCTAAGTACTAGGACCCAAGTGCTTTGTTGCATTGTACCTTGACATAAATATAATATATATATATATATATGTACACATGAATATGCATCTGCTAATCAAGTGAATGTGACAGTTCAAGAACAACCGTGAAATTTATTCAATGTAATTGTTCTTAATTAACTTGGTTAATTATTATATTAATTAATTCTGTTGCTAATACCCAGATCAAGATGGGAGTGATGAACCTTAATTGGCATTATTCAAAATCTGTATGTGTATTGTACGTATATATGACAGTTCAAGAACAACCATGATAGTTTTTTTTTTTTTGGCTTTTTCTATTTTGGACGTCATAATTAATTCCTTACTTATTAGTTACTTAACTTTATTTAAATACTAGCTATATATATATATATATATATATGTGTGTGTGTGTGTATGTGTGCATATATAATATATTACTACTTTTTTTCACGTTGGATTCTGACAAGGCAATGAATTGAAAGTTTTCTTAAGAAATTCAAAGTGAAAGTACCAATACTAACCTAAGTGCAATAAATTATTCTATAATTATGTCCCGTATTTGTCCTCCGTTTTTTTTCTTTAAATGTATATAATCATAAGTATAGACCTCCTCGTCAATACATATATATACTATATAATAGTTGGATCTACTTTCCACCGAAAAAGATCATCAACATTAAATTTTCAGTGCCGTGATGGGAATAATAATTTTCAATTTTGAAAAGTTTCATACTTAAAAGTTATATACATATCACCTCCTTTAATACGATAATGACTCAATTTTGAGAGGCTATTATGTGTTAATTAATTTATTTATACAAATATATTATGCAAATAAGATTATGCGTAGGTCTAAAATTAGATCGGATCATAACAGAATGATAAAAGACTTAATTTTTGAATTGAAAACCAGTTTAGTTTAAATTTTTTCAGTTCAATCTGAATGAATTATATATATATATATATATATATATTTTGTTTTTAATTAAAACATTTAATAAAAAATTTACTCAACAATTTAATTAAAAGATTTAATCAACAATCCTCATTAAAAAATAACACAATATAAACGTGTTTATCATTTTTCTATTATTTTCTCGCCTCATTGTTTCCCTTATAAGTGTGCAAACTTTTAAACATTTTATTCGAGTTTGGAGGAAACTAACTAGATCTAGATGAAGTAGGTGAAAACGTAAAGCCTAAAGACAACAGTGGTCCAATCACTAGTGGAGACAAAGCTATGAGCTTGTGATTATGTGATGACCAACGTAGTCAAGGCAAAGGGCAGAGTGAGGTGCTTATCTTAGAGCTCAAAGGGCAAATTGAGGCATTAGGGCTAGAGCTTAAAGGAGAAACAACTAAGCAGTGGCGAGTGGTGGACGTAAAGTGAGTGCTAAGAGGCGAGACGACAAAAGGCAAAAGAGGACATTGAAAGGAGTGAAAGGAGGAGAGCTTAAACATTTTAGGGTTTTTTTCATTTTTTTTTTTAAATCTAACGGATACCTGATTGATTTGAATATGATTGTTTGATCTATTTATTTAAAAATCGAAAACCAGATTAACCATATATTTGGTTTAATTTGATTTGCACCAAATAAATTGAATTTAAATTATGATTTGTACACATTTTTAATTTATTTAATCTATATAAGTATAATAAAAGTATTTTGTAGGCAGGCAAATTTGACTTTTTCTTTTTTTTTTTCTTATAAAAAATTATTTTTAAAAGAAAAAAAAAAAGAGTTACACTACAAGATATTGTTTAAAAAAATGTTGGATGGCGGAAAAAAGAGAAGAGAAAAAGTAAACATATCCAAATTGCACATATAAAAATTGGGTTTAAATTAGACTTTTTCCACGATTCTAGATTTAATTCAATTGGACAACCCAATTTAAACACAATTTTATGTAAGAAATTTTTTTTAAATATACAAAACACAAAAAAACAAATATACACTGTCTTTTTACTATTTTTTTTTTAAAAATAGAAAATATATTATGGTAAAGTGAAATAATTAGGGTCCAAATTAAAAGGTCAATTTAGAAATTGTTGGAAAAAGCCACGTGTGATATCTAATAACTATGAAACAAAATTTTAATAATTAAAACTTATTATGTCTCTGGATAAGATGACATACATGGACCAAGCAATGAACCTTTTTATCAATTATGAAAAGATCACGACTTTGCATGCATGCATGCATGTATATGCCTTCTCTCTTCCTGTCTCTTTCATGTGGACGCACATATATATATAAATATGACTGCAGAAGTCAAAGCTGTTGACAACATAAAGATTAATGTGTTTAATTAATTATCATTATTATTACTAATTTTTAATGGGAATATATTATTAATTAATTCTTAGGCAAGTAAGAGTTCATGCATGTACTGTATGATACCTGCACGTAGAGATAACCCGTACCAATCAGTCTCGAATCAGAATTTTTATAATCAACAAAGTGTGGAATAATTGTAGACCAAAAATTATTAAAAATATATATATAAAATGAATATTAAGTGGGTGTGAATATAATAATATACCCAACTCACACAGGGTTAACTCCATCCTACTATATAAATAATAAATATTCATGTAATATATACTTTTATTAATTCATAATGTAAATTTTCTCATATATATATATATTATTTGGGTAAAAAAAAAAATTATTGAGGATTAATTATTGGTGAAATAAGAATGTCGTACGTAAGTCAGCCTTATCCCTTGTGATGATCACTCGGGTGCATGCATCCCCTTAAATTTCCTTTCATAATTCATCAGCATCTTCTTTCGTTCGTGAATTTTTTTCTTCTTCTTGTATGTATATATATATATATATATATATATATATATATATGCACACGCACGCACACATGCATACTTGTAAGTAAATATATATATGTTTTTTGTATTTATTCTGAAATAGTCTTTCAAAAATTAATATAAAAACTATTGTGTTTCAAATAAATAAATGATTTGAAAGATACCACAAATTTAATTGAATTTTGGTGAGTATATAATATATCTTAAATTTTTGTTTCATGTTTTTCAATAAGGTTTCAAAGTTTAATCAATGATATATATGTAATTTTTCAATTCATATATATATATATATACATATATGATCTCGAAAGATTAATTAATTAATTATTACGAAAATTGACTTCATTTTGAATCTAAATTATGTTTGAACTAATACACGCGTGTTTTTGTATGTGTTTCTATGCGTGTGTGTGTGTGTGTCTATATAGATATATATATATATATATATATACACGATGGCATATTTATTGATCATGTTCTAGACCCAATTAATGAAGCTTCTTGGCATTAATGAAGGTTTTAGGCTTGGAGGCTTGTTTAGGGGTTTACAATATTTGCATGGTCCGAGATTAACGCTTCTTAATCAGAAGGATATTAGCGGCGGCCGGCGAAAAAGATCAAAAAATAGAAACCTTCTTGTTACATAATATATATATATATATATATATATATATCTATGTATATATATGTATACACTGCATGTATATATGCCTTTCAAGAAATGGTCTTCTTTTTGGACTTTTGTTTGCTTGAAAAAAGAGAATTCAAATGGGTGGCTTGTTTATTTTCGGTAGTTAAATAGGTTCTTAGGGCATTTCCATGGACGGTAGGGGGGTTAACTAACACATTGCATAAAAAAATCTATCACCTACTCCTTGGTTTTTTTTTAGCAATTTTTCTTTTTCATCTAAGACTAATTTTATATAAAATAGCTTACGATACACTATATCTATATATATATATATATATATATATAGCATGCATGCAAGTCAAAGTTTTCAACAACTTGTAACAATGATTCAGACTCAAGATATATTATAGATATAAGAAAATTAGATGAAAAGCATTTTCTTTTCAAAATATTAATTATATTTTATTTTTTTATTTCAATCATTTTCGTTGTATATATATATATATATATATATATATATATATATATATATATATGTATAGCTAATTTGTTGTGGGGTCACTTTCGTGAGTTGTATAGAGATATGTAATTGCTTATCTAACTTGCCCATATGCATTAATATGCAGTGAATAGTATCATGAAATTTAGGTCCCTACATACATTATGCCAAGAAACAAAAATCTCTGATATGATTCACTTCGTGATGATCAGATGAGATTTAGTGGTTTGAATTTCATGTACCCTTCGATGGGGGTCACAGTATCTGATCTCTTTACACCCCAGATTCTTTAAGGAAGACCAGACAAATGTGTTCCCATAGTTAAATGCTTTACCATATATTATGCATATATATTTACATACATATTATTACAGATAGAATATATATATATGTGTGTGTGTGTGTGTGTATGAGTTAAACATAATGAAGCAATAACTCTTGGAGATCTAAAGTTTGACCATAAAATCGTTGATAAGTTGAAGTTATGGGAAAGTAGATTTTTGGCAGAGAATTGTGTGGGAAAATTATTCAGGGACCACTGGGTAGAAATTAGATGGAGATGATCATCTCCAACTGGGTCATGTCGATATATAGTATATATATAGAATATCACAATGTGGTCAGGAATCAGATCACAGGGACATTAAAGGGGTGGGTGAATTGCCCCAAGTGCATGAATATGTACTGAAAAGACTTGGGAGAAAATGATAGCTAGCTAGGGTTCTTTCTTTTTTCTTTTTCTCCGGATGAAGATGATAGGATTCATTTAAGCATGCATTGTGAGTGCTCATTTTCAAAATTATTTCTCTGCATTCTGTTTGATGTTATCAATAAATACATACATACGTACGTATATATATATATATATATATGTATATACACCCTGTAAATAATTTTGGTACACTTCTTGTCAATTCATTTTTCTTTCTCTTTGTTAAAAAAAAGGTGTTTGTGCTTAATTAAATCGTTTTTTAGATATTGTGCAACTTGCGACATGACTTGACAACACCATTTCATCTCTCTCCAATATCATTGGATCATTATTAATATACATATACATATATATATATATATATATACACACACACACGCATATGCATATGCATACTTTTTTTTAAATGATATGATCTATGGGATATTATTGAGATTTGAAAATGCCCACAAATTTTTATGTTCTGAGAGTATGCGTTACGATTCAACTATTTTTTATAATTATTTATTTTGAGAATGCATTAGATTCAAAAATCATCTAAAATTCATTTGTTAATTTGTATTTAATTTAATGAAAAATTTATATACAAATTTTAATATAAATTTTTTTAAAAAAAAAATCCACCCCATATATGAAATCTTATATCTAAGATCGAAATAATGCATTTTAAATTTATCAAAATTTGAATTATATATAAATTTTGAAATAAATAAATTTTTAAAAAATAATTTATCTATTCTACGTAGACATATTGTAAGCCTGTATTTAGAACAAATCCAAAAAGTTTGTGAAATTTTGTAAAATTCACATTCAATTTAACTCTAAATTCGTGATGATCTTCCCTAAAATCAAAATTTGATCTTTTTAAATCAAAACATTTCAGTCAATTCTAAGAATTTGGTTATTAAATTAGGGTATATATATATACAATTGTTCGTTGGTGGTTTTGATCCGCATTAAATGATCAAACACCATCCATGTAGATGCAACAAAAGTCATATAGAAATGAAATTAGTCCGATGCTTTTCAAGTGACAGAACAATGATTCATTTCCTTTCAGGGTTAAATACATTGGACAGTCACCACAAGAATATAGAAAGAACTATATATTAATTTTATGAACAAGAGAATAAAGCAATCAAAAAAGAACATGTAGAATCATTATCTACAACATATGGTGCAGGATATTTCTATAAATTTTTTTATAATATCAAAGATTAAATCTTTTCTCCGAAGTACATTTAAAAGTTTACTCAAAATATTAATAATTTAGAGAAAAATTTTAAATATTTTAGTATTCCTTTCGAAAAATCAAGGAATTTGGAGCTTTTGGCAACACGCGGAGATTCAATTCATTGGGTTAATTCTCTGAATTTGATTATGATTACATGAGGAGTAAATAAATATGAATCTTCTTCAAAACTTGCAATAAAAATAATGGTAAAATAATATAGTAGTTGTTAATCCATTCATTTGCTATCCATGAATTGCAGCATATTTTCTTTGCAGAAAATTCTATGAGCATCTGATAAAAACAGTCACTTTCTTTCTGCATTTCAAATAAAAACTAAAACAATGCATTTCATACAAGTATCATTCATGGGTGTGCGCGCATGTGCCTGTTCCTGTGTACCAAAATCCATTTAAGGAAGTGTTGAACCCAAACTTTCTACATAAATTTTGGTTTGAACAAGCAACTCTCCTATTAGGTTCCTGTCAAGTTTTTCACAAACACCAAACCCAGATGAATGTTCTTATTCAACAGCTTGTTAAAAGTGAGGAACCTTACTGACGGATAAAGGAACGCAGTCTTTATAAGTGGAACCCAGAAGATCATGGAGACATTCTTAGTTGCATTAATCTTCCACCTTCCTCGTTTATGAGCAGACATACAGCAAAGATCCAGAAACCGTAAAGCCCAATCAACAATACAGCACCAGAATGTATGTTGAGTCTTCTATTTACACCTACTTCTTGAGCTGTTTCTTGCTACTAATATACAAACAAGCTTCGTATTTGGTGTTCTACCTTCCAAGTTCTACTATGGTCGTCATCTAGATGACGGTTCCATCTTAACTTTCTAACATTATAATAGTTCATTAACTTGTATAATATCACTTTAAGATTGCATAGTAATTCACAATGTTACGTGATACCACACAAAGTCAGTTATTCACGACATTAGAAATTGACCGTGGATGCATCATACTTCCAAGGAATTATAGACTGTCCCTTACCCTCCTCATTTATATGCAGATCGGACAGAGATATGGAAAAACTTAAAAACACTCTGAGAATGTAGCTCTCTTTTGCTTCCAGAATCATGTTGAATGAAGGAATCAAGAATTGGTTTACTTTTAATGCAGAAAAGGATTAGTCTCTATTACACCCACTCCTTGAGTTGTTTCTCCCTAAAATTAAAGGTTTGCAATCCACCCCCCTTTTGAAAATCTTCAGATTTTGACATCCAAAACAAAGACTCTGTATATTTGACTTCGGTTCCACCTCCCTCTCTGGAGCAGATGATCACAAACTGAAAAAAACTACGAGGATATAGCTCCTTTAGTTACTAAGAGGCATCTTCAACCAATCTCCATTGCACCCTTTCCTTTCTCCCTATGATTCAAGACAAAATGCTTCTCACCGTTCCTCAAGTTCCAATATTCATAATGATCTCTCAGGAGCGAAAGAAGGAACACTCACTTCCTCGAGCTCAATGGAGGCAAAACTCGAGAATTTTCAAAAGAAAACAATTAAATAAAATAGAAACTAATTTGACAAGCTCCTAACACTCTTGTTATTTTCACCTCAATCAACAGTTAAGAAATCCAACATACCCTACTTCTGAAAATGGCCATGAAAGATCACATACACAGAACATTCTGAAATTGCACAAAATCTCCACACACTTCACATCAATACTCTTTAAAGGGAAATTTAATAAACATGTCAAATTCAGTGATCCACTCCTTTCTAAACCAAGCAGAAGAGTTTATTTACATAACCAAGATTTATTTCCATTGATTAAGAATTAACCTAAACAGACCATCAATGAATGTCATCCTCTCTTCACTTGGTCTTACCCAAAAAGAGTATCAACTATAAAAAAACCGCACCCAAATTCAGCACAAAGTATATACAATCAAACACACACATATATAGGAAATTTGCTGATAGGTTATTGCTGGGTAATCAATAAACCCTTACCAGAAGGAAGAGACTAGACATGATAAGAATCAATAATCAGCCTGATACTCACTGTAATCATCACCGGTAGCCAGGTTAGTTTCCACTCTCTCGGCGATCTTGTCTTCCTCGTACTTTAAACCCTCTTCTAGTGCGATTCCCCCCAGGGCCCCTGCGACGGCGCCCACAGCCAATCCCGTCCCGAACCCCATCTTCCCTCCCCTCTGCCTCTGGTTATCGTAAGGTGAGTAGTCCACCGGAGCAGATGGCCCCCCGCTTCCAAAATAAGCTCCGCCTGTTCGATCGAACCTCGACGGCGGCGGTAGAGGAGGAGCAGCGGCTGTTGTGGAATAGTACCCTGGGACATACTGCGGAAGAGACGGAGAGGGGGGAGGAGGCGGAAGCGTTGAGTACATAGACGGAGGGTACCCTCGGGGAGGAGGCGGGGCAGTTTGGTAGTAATATCCCATGGGAGGGGCAAAAGGGTAATCTGGCAGCGTGTGGACCGGCGGTGGAGGCGGCGACGGTCTCGGGGAGTAGAAGTAATCCGGCATCGTATGCACCAACGGTTGAGGAGGAGGAGGAGGGGGAGGCAAGGGTCGTTCCTTGATCGCCATCTTCAACCGGATCTTGCCCTGGGGACGACCAGACGGGCGGCAGAGATTGAAATTCCGGATCCTGGTCCCATCTTCTGGATCGGGTAAATCCTTGAGGACGACCTGAAGAGTGGCGACAAGCGGTTTGGGGGTTTCGCTGGGCTTGGAGTGGAAAATCTCGAGAGTGAGGACGGCGTCCAGTGCGGGGAGCGAGAGAGGAAGCGTAAAACGTTCGTTCCATACGGGTCGGGTTGACCCGGAATCGTCGGACTTGGTGGCCAGTCGGCGGTCGGGGTCGACCCAGAAGATGGCGTAGGGTTTAAGGTCGCCATTTTTCCAGTTGACGTTCTTGAGATCCTTGGCGGAGACGATGGTGAGATCGAGATCAAGAGGCTTTGACGGCGGAGGTCGAGAGGTGGCAGCCATTGCAATTTGCTGCTTAGGGTCCGGTGCGCGCTAAATTGCGCAAGTGGTGGTCGGGTACTTAGGATATGCAGACAAAGCAGTGGGAATGAAAGGAAGAGAGATTTGAAGTCCCGAAAGCCGAAAGCCGAAAGCTTGGGGCTCAAGGTTCGGTGGGCGTGCGGAAATTAGTGGGTCGGTTTGATCGAGCAGTTCGGTCTAACTATGTTGGATCGAGCCAGATCATTCGGGCGATTGGACCGGGTCTGAGCTTGTAGAAAATTGAATGTTTTTCTTTCTCTCTTTTTTTTTTTGTTTAAAAAAAGGGAAATAATAAAACTGTAGTGGTACAGAAATTATGGTATAACTATTTTTCTATGTTGTGTTATATATGGATTATAATTGAAAAATTAATTATATAATATATAAATTATAATTAACTAAAATTAAATTCTACTTTTATATTTAAAAATTTTAAATAAATAATTATTATATATTATTAAACTATTTAATATTTAAAATTATAAATGATATAATTTATAATTAATTAAAAAATTAAATTCTATTTTTATATTTTATAAATTCAAATAGAGAATAATTATGTGTATTATCGTATTAATTTTTGTATATTTTAAAATTTGAATGAATACTATCAAAATTTTATTTATGTATATATTTATAATTAATATTAACATATTATTTTTATATTTAAAAAAAAAATTAAATAACTAATTATTATATATATTATCAAAGTTAATTTTATGTTTAAAAATTATAGATTTTGTAATTTGTAGTAAATCAAAAATTAAATTTTAGTTTTATATTTTAAAATTTTAAATAAATAAATAGCATGCATATTAATATATATCTTAAAGTTTGATTAAAAAATATTTAAAATAATTATAATTATCTTGTTCTTACTTTTTAGAATTTAAGTGAATAATATTTAATATTTATATATATATTATTTTTTATTTCAAAAAATAAGAAAATGTCATGGGAGATTTTTTAGTATTCTTTATATATATATATTATTTACCGCTTTATCTAATTATTATAGTTTTAAAATTAGACACAAAATCTTTAAAATAGAGTTTGCTAGCACAAAATTTAATATCAATAAAGAAGAAAAAACTAAGACCACAAATTTAACACAACACAATACTCAATTTAAAAATAATTTATCTGTTTACACAAATTCATATCTAAAACAAACCCACAGACAATATAATATAGCCTTTAAATATGCGATGAGCTCCCTGAGATCTTAGGAGTTCATATATGCCTATTGTAGCTGAATTTTTTCTGGGTAAAGGTACTCGTGTCCTACCCACCACGATCATTCCATGAGAAGGTCCAGGATCTGGCAGCGGCGACATTCTAATCACTTCCAAGTCCAAAAATGGCAAGGACCCATCAACTCTAATGTAAAATTGTTCGTTCCAAACAGGATTTGGCAAACCTTTAGTTACATGTGTTACGTAACATTCATCGGGGCTTACTGAAATTATCACGTTATATGATTTTATATCATTTGGAGCATTGATATTTGTTTCGTCTATTTCAATTGCATGCAACACTTTTAGGTCCAAAATCATACTTTCTTCCTTTTCATTTTCTCCACCCCTTTGGTCTTCTACGTTGTTTACCGTCTTCCCCGTTTCACAGCGATATCTTTTCTTTCTTTCAACATTGTAGTACTTTTCATCGTCAGCATCCATTTCTCTGACAAACAAAATTATTCCATGATGACTTTTTACCAAATTAAATCTCATAAACTTTTGATTCATTACTAATATAAAAAGAGTTATGCGTATATATATCAAATAATATATATTTTATGATAAATCAATTGAAAAAAATAATAATCTATAACTTAATTTTTTAGAACTTTAAAAATAAAATTCTGTACTTTTTATAAGAATGTGATTGCAATAAATAAATCAAGTGAGGAATAAAAATAAAAATAAAAATAAAGTATAGCAAATAGTAAAATAACCTTGTGATTTATTTTCGTCCCCTCTGTACGTGACACTTGTTTTGTTTTTCTCTTTATAAATACATGTCTATTTATAAGACAGATTGATTAGTGGATTGGTTTCGCATAAAAAAAAGAATAATAAAAATACTAGTTGTATGTGTTTAAATAATAAAATAAGTAATAGTTATCAGCGGCAAATCCGCATATATTAAATAGATATTGTTATTTTTACTGAGTTGATATAGATTTATTAATATATCAGATACTTATTATCTACTGAAAGCTGAGAAAATTATGTATATCTAAAGAAAATTGGATGTTTATTAATTCAATATACATTTAATATCATTGCATCTTATAAATAAGTTAGGATTCACAAAATTATTAATTAATATAAATTATTATTTTTTTCTTTTTTTTTAATTAAAAAAATAAGCATTTTTAATATAACTATCAATGAAGTTTCTAATTCTTCACAGGTTATGTAGCGCCCGGACCGAGGGAAAAAAAAAAAAAAAAAGCCACGTCGGCAGTCACGTTAGCAGGCCCGGTCAGCAGTCCCGGCCAACCGGGGCCTGGCACGTGGCAAGACCACGTCGCTCCTGAATGGGCCACGTTGGCGATCCGCGTGGGCGCGATCGGACGGCCCAGATCATTACATCTTATAAATAAGTTAGGATTCACAAAATTATTAACTAATATAAATTATTATTTTTTTCTTTTTTTTTTAATTAAAAAAATAAGCATTTTTAATATAACTATCAATGAAGTTTCTAATTCTTCACAGGTTATAACACATAAAAGTAAATGATCAAATAAAAATCAAGACAATACATAAAAAAGTCTTTGTGTAATAATCAAAAAAGTTCAAATCAACCTCAACATAATTTTTTCAATTTAAATACAATACTAGACTTTAAATTTTTATTAGAACAGACTCTTATAACTAATAATTTATCTAATACCTTCAGATAGACCACTACATAATAGATAATACATTTATATAACATTAATTTTTAAAAATATTGCTAGTGTAGCATCCATATTTATTAATTTTTCTCTTTTTTTTATTCCTATTTTTTAAGATTCATACATGAATGAAATCTACAAACGAATTTCGTTTCAATATTTTTAAACTCTCATTTAAGCACTATCACTTGTTAAATGATACCTGAAAATAAAAAACTGTAAAAGAGTGAACTAGCAATAATAAAATTAATTACGAGATTGTTATGCTAATAGTATTTTTAAAACTTGATGTCCATATAAATACATTTTTCTGTTATATGGGTATCTGTTTAACGATATTAGATATATTTTACTTATAAAAGTCTATCTGGACAAAATTTAAAAGTCCATATTATTTTTAAATTGAAAATAGTATAATGGCTGATTTAAATTTTTTTGACCAATACAAAGGTCTTATGATGTATTATTTTAATAAAAACTTATTTTCTGTATATAAAAATATGTCAAAAAATATTGAGATATAATATATTTATTTTACCTCAAAGAGAGAAATAAAACGGAATACTGATGTTACTATGCACCTAAAATTACATATAATAGTGTTTATCTCTTACCAAAGACAGATATTTGTAGATATAATCAATTAATTGATCAAATATATTAAATTAAATCCTTGCAGTTTTCTTCTACATACTCTTATTGATTTA